TCACTTACGAGAGATTGATTTTTTTTTGTTTTGTTATTTAGTGACTTATCTTCGTAACTGATTGTCTGAAACACAAAAAATGTCACGAAAAACGTATGTAGTTTAACAATCTTTTGACATCTCATCTTTAATCTAAGAGCCCATTTTTCTTCAGATGCGATGCTATGGTCGCTAATTGTTTGAAGATACTGGGAAACGAGTCTTTCAAAATAATATTTTTAATTTAGTTTTATTTTTTGTTTGATTGTACAGGTTTAGAAAGAATGTATGTACTGAAAACAAAAAACATATGACTTAACGTACCGCATCATAAATCACTGAAATATATTTATCGCTTTCTTCCTATTACTAACGTAGTGAAGAAGTGGAGGCATTTAGTTTTCACTAAAGTGAATTTTGAAAAATCCTATTTAGGAATATATTATTAAACAGCATAAAATCTTAAGCTTTTAAAGAGAAATCGATTGCAGATTTGAAATTAGAAGCGCGAATTGTGGGAAAACTATTAACTTAACTATTTAACTTTCAAAATTTGAATATTTAGAAGGGTATACTGTTAGCGATCTAAGTCCTGCAGTGGACTGGTCGTAAAGACATAGTTCCCAGTAGAACACCGAAGTCAAGCATCATTGGCTGTGATCAGTAAGTGGGTGCGTGACCACTTAGATTAGCCTGCCTAAGGACCGAGGTTGCGCGGTATCATTGTTCATGAAACTGTGCTACCGTAAAGTGCTTGACCTCGCGCTCAGGTCGTCGGGCTATCAAAACAGGGGAGCCATCCCCTCTGCAGAGGTTCAAAATTACGATGGCATGTCTTCGGATCATCCTCAGGGATATTTCCCAGATCGTCGCCAATAGCCCATTGTGCTGCTCTAGTGCGACGTAAATAAAGTACCTACGTTATTGAATTAACATTATGACCGTTCCTAGATATTGGTTTACCTTCCAGAAAAATGTTGACGTTAAAGTGGACATATTATTAAAAAGAATCGAAAATTTAAATTTGTTTGTAAAAGAGATTTTTAAATTAATTGTATATGTGACATGTATTTAAAAAGCACACCGGATACTTTTTGATAATGCAAACCTTGTGATAGCAATCTTTAAAAATCTTGAAATCCTCAGTGTCCGAACTATAATCTTGATTGTTTCCTTCTTTTCCCCTTCTGTGGGGGCAATATGAAACAAACCTCGGTGTTCTGTGCCTTATCGCCCCGTAAAGATTGATTTGCTGAAAAATTACCGTTACAATTTTTAAAATGGTAAATGTCCGCAACACTAAATGATTGAAAACAAGTTATAAGATTAATATATATATATATATATATATCTGTATAAACAGTTTTCTTGAAAAAAAGAGAATTTTCCCCTCTCACGCTACACTTATGTGTCTTGCGTATACAGACAGTGCGTGAATAGAGTAACGCAAGGTGTGTGCATAAGTACGTGTTGAAAGAGGTGCTTTTTTATTATAACAACTCATGCAACCTTTGAAATTTTATTCTATTGACTTATATACAGTCTCACCAGATTCAGTGAAAAAAATACTAAAATATTTGGTTTTCAAAATTACAGAGCGTAATACCAAATATTTATTAAAACATTCCAAAATGAAAAGCAAATTTAAACGAATGATTGGTTTTCGTGCCATGCTCTTAAATATCATGACGAAATAATTTTACGAAGGAATTTTACCACGTTTACAAAATATTCCGAAACTTTATCACTTATTTCAAAACCATGTATTATTGTTGAATTCACCAAAATATTTACAAAAGTCTTTCGATAAAGAATTACAGACCTCTTTGGCCTTCCCATAAAGCGAGAAATTTGGTAACTTTGTATGCTTTTTTTTCTCAAGAACACTTAAAATGAATAAAAAAAAGCTGGTTTGAATACTGAAAGAAACTTTGGTATTCGAAGCAAAGTAATTTATACGTATTATTCTTTAAAAGAATTAAAAGAATTCTTTAAAATAATTTTTGCAAACTGAGAAATTGAGGAAAAAAAAACTGCAAGCGATTCAGATCATTGCTTTTGTTCTCAACTTACTAAAGTACATCCATGCACGCTTGCATACAAACAGATTTTTTTCTTTTCTTTTATATAAGGCGATGTGAAGTAATTCATATTTCACTATCATATATTTCATATGCGGTAATATCAAAATAAAATAGCAGACCAAATAGTTTTTTCGACACTTCAGTGGAATTGATCAAATTCCGATCTTTGTATTGGAACGGAAAGTAGAATGCTGGAGCCCTAATGGTCGTTAAAATAACATTGCGTCTATGATAAAACAAGACTTTTCGTACTGGTCGTTGTAAAAATGGTAGGGGTTGTATTACAGAGCTTACACTGAAGCATAATTTTCCAAAGTTGAAATAATACTTGTTCGAAAGGATGAATTCTAATCAAATGAGGATTCTAAAAATGTAGCGATAGATTTGCAACATGTGACAGTTTTTTGTGTGGTTATTACGACATGCTATAATTACACGAAATTTCGTATGCCTAGCTTAAATGTTTATAAATATATGGACATTTTTTATGAAAAAAAAATTCTTACGTTATTTTACTATAATTTTAAAAGTTTTCAATAAAATTTAAAAAAAAATTTATAATAATTTATAATTAATTGCAAAAATTTTGTTGTAAAGTTTTAGAAAATTTCGTTTTAAGCTTCGCAAGATATGAGTAATTGAACTAGTTCTTTTAAACAGCGCCTGCGTAGGAAATTTTTTTTAAATTTCATTTTAGTTAATCGTATTTGGCAAACTAATAAAAAAAGTCCGATTATAATATTTAGAAAATTTTGAAGATTTAAAGAAGTTTTCAAAGTAGTTTTTGTAACTTTTAATAGAAGACTCAAAATGATTAAAGGTTTTCTACAAATATTATTTTGTATAAGACAGAATTAAATAACAAATGATAATATCTTGCAATAAACATTCATTTACGAAAATGTGATTTGACGAGGAAAGAAAACAGGTGAAAAATAAGATAGTTTTAAGAGAAATGAATCCCAACAATGTCGGGGTCCTTTTTAATAAATCTTATTTAATAGTACAAAATCAAACATGTGGAAAGCCCCTTCTTTAAAACAGTACGAAAACTACTTAGAAAATTTTATGAAACTTTTTAAATTTTTAAAATATTGAAATTGGTCCTTTTTTATTAGTTGTCTTTGGACTTTTTTTATTAGTATTACTTTTCACTACAAAATTAAGAAAATTCTTTTTTTAATTTTTTCCCGAGCGTGTGCAATATAAAAGAGCCACTTTAATTACTGTGCAGTTACTTGTGCAGTTTGAACCATATTTTTATCAAATTTCAAAGAAGCATTTTTTAATTAATTTTGAAATGATATAAAAAATTTATTTATTTTTACTGAATATTTTTAAAGTTATGGCAAAAAACACAAGAGAAAAAAAAATTAGTCTTTTCATAAAAATATCCATATTTTCATAAATATTCACGCTATAATTGCAAAATTTTGTGCAATTGTTGCATATAATAAACAGAATAACTGTCACAAATTGCAAATCTATTGCTGCATTTTTTGACATAGGGTGTTCAAAAACATTATTTTCCGTTTATAATTTATTGTCGGTCCCTAAAGCCCTTAAAAGTTTTTAATTTCATTAATATGTATGAGAAATCGCATGATCTAAGTATTTCTGAAGTTATTGAAGGATTCTCTCCGTATTTCTAGCGAAATATGAAACAATATTAGTATGGAAGTGCTTGTATTATTAGGTTGTTAAAAAAGTTCTGCCACACTTGCGAAAATTTCAACTTTTATGAATTTTCATTTTGTGCTGTTGTTTTTTTTTTTGGTGTTCACACTTTCCACACACAGCTTACACTTTCATCAATAAGCTCTAAATGACATTGAATAAAACTGAACTTCGGTTTTTGATTCGCCATGGCTATAAACGAGATCTTTCAGCAGGGATGCTGCAAGGGTATTTCAGAACTTTTTTTACAACCTAATATTTTGTTCACAAGTATGAAATTTAAGCTCTTAAGAGCAAGCATACGTTGCATAAAAGTTTAATTTGAAAACATAATAAACATTTACAATAACATTACATTGAAAGAAAGCTCACATACCTGATTGAAAATTTGACATAAATGTTTGACAAAGATATTTATACTTCGTGCTTACAACAAGAGAATAAACTGACATAAATATATTTTATCATCAGCACATCAATGTTTGGGGATAAATATTTCGATGAAACAGAATTTTTATAATGCAGTATCATTTGAAGAGCCCCTTTCATACAAATATTACTGCCTTTCTTATAAAAATTATATTCATCAAACGTGATAACTTTAGGGTGACAAGGTGAAACTAAACCAGCAATGCATCTTCAAATTCCATCCTGCTATTTATTTGAATATCATGAATAACATTTCATGCATTTTTAATTTTCATTTTAAATGTCTATTAACGAAATATGCAGGAATAAAATATGCATAAAAAAGAAACCTAATAGGTGTTAAAGTTTTTAACTTACAAGTTTGAAACGAAAATACTTAGAAATTTGAGCTTGACTTGTTTTCAATATTAAATACTTTGCTCGATAGTCTTAAAGTATCAAGAAAATTCGCAAATAATAGCAGAATTTAAGCGCTTATTATACTTTAAATGAAAATAATTTAAAGTCAGATATAATTTTTAAGCATTATTACGATGATAAAAGAATATCAATGAATTAAACAATAAATCTGATTATATATTCAAATTAAAAAAGAAAAACTGTTGCTGCTTTTAAAATCCATAGCTATAACAGATAATTTTAATTATCTTAGATTCCATTTTTAAAAAAAATAGGTAAAGTAAAATCTACATTAAAGTTGTTTTCGTTAATTTTATATACAGTCACTTTAAAAAAAATGTATGAATTTTAACAACCCCAAGTAAGGAGGTGTTAGGTTTCATTCGTAAACATATTTTAAATAGATATGAATAGAATTATGAAAGTCAACACAGTAATCAAATATGAAATTGAATATTGAAAGTAAAGTTAAAGGAAACATTATTTAAAGCACATACAGGAAGTCAAGTTCTTAAGCACCACAGTATTTTTCTTTAAACAAACGCCATATTCAAGTGTATCTTAGTAAAAGTTATTTGGCTTGGTCCTTCTAAAGTTGTATCATTCATTCGAACCAACGATGGAATGGTATCAATGAGTTAGTAATAAATAATGTATCTTTAAAATCCCATTTACTTATTAAATTCTTTAAATTAGATCTAGTACATAGGGTGCATATTTTTCTTAATGTTTGTGTACTAGAATTTCCCCAATAAAATGCATTCTGTGTACTCAATTTGTCTATTTTTCAATCGAACTTAGTTGCTCATTTTATGTTCTTTTATATGCAAACAAATCAGTTTAAGAATATTCTGACATTTCTTTATAGTATGTCATTTGAGGAGTTGTTTATCTGTTGTTTCGAAGCTGCTGTCCCGTTGTTTAGTGTTGTTTCTCGCTCTGTTCGATTTTCCTGAGTGGTTCTGTTTGGTAGAGCTGTATGCTTTTGATTGCAAGCAATGACTTTATGGAAAGCTTTTCTAAAGTTCTCAGACAGGAAAGCGTACAGAATCGGGTTAACACATGAATTCATATAAGCCAAGATATGCGACGTTATCTGCACCACGATGCGGAAAGTGGTCAGGCTGTATGAATTAACGCTTTTCAGAACTAATACAATTTGAATGGGGCACCAGCAGACAGCGAAGATAACTACTACAACTACAACCATTCTTGTCACACGCTTTTTCGATTTTAAGCTCTCTGCACTGATTCTTCCACCGGGTGCCACACCGAACCAAAGTCTCTTCAGCATGAGCATGTAAAGAATAAATATCAAAGCCAAAGGAACAATGTAAGAAGACATGAAAAATGATATCTGAAAAGCAGCGTAATTGTATCCTTCATTTGAGAGAAAAACACAAACGGAAAATTCTTTTTCCTGTATGTAATAATATACTTGGCCATGGGATTGCAACGCTGGAATGCATGCAATTACGATGATTGCCCACATGATACCAATTGCAATCCAAGCGTTACGAACAGTACGGATCGACATTGACGTGATAGGATGCACCACAGCTAAAAATCGATCTAATGACATCAGTACGAGTGTGTAGATACTAGCATAAGCACAGACGATAACCAAGTATTGCACCACTCTGCACCACACTTCTCCGAAAGGCCAAGAAGGCACCGCATAGTCAAAAGCAGTGAATGGTACACAAAATAATATAAATAAAAGATCGGCCACAGCAAGGTTAATGATGAGCACGTTTGTTGTAGATCTCATTTGGGGATTGCAAGCAACAACTAAAACCACCAAGGTGTTGCCAATTAAGCCTACAACCACGATGATGCCGAAAAGTATGGGAACAACGATGCTGATAATATATTCCAAAGAGCTGATATCTGCCCGTATTGTGATGTCTGTGCTGTTGATACATAATGTTAAATTAGTACTGAAGTTTGTTGAGCATACTTTTGCTGTCTCATTTATAATCTGCTGAGTGGTAGTTGTCACAAACGGATTGTCCACTTCTATGGGATCCACAACTTCCGCTTCAATATCCATGTAATCTTCATCAAACATATTTGCAGATTAATGATGAATTTTAATTTCTAAAAAAAATTAAAACATGGTTAGACATGTATTCCGTAACAAAAGAATATTTTATTTAATTTCTGAAAGGGTGGATCTACCAATCACAGCCATATAATCACCATAGCGGTTTAGATTTTGCATCTAAAATTTTCATTAAATTTTAACTATTTGAAAGAGAAATATCCGTATGTTTCTTCAAAAAATATAACCCACATTTGATTATTGCGCAAGTATGTAATGTGATTTTAACTAGGAATAAAATTGCCTATCATGCTTATGTGACTAAAATTGCATTCTTCTGACTACTTCGCTTACATTAAAATAATATTATATTAAAAAGTTAAGTTTTCTTTATGCGATTCCATAAAAGTAAACAAATTTACTCAATTACGTAGCACGATGGCTCCTAAAAGTGGAAATTGCCTTCAAAATCTTAGCATTTTTTGGAACCCAGCTTTAAAGTCAACCAGTAGAGCACGAGTATTTACCGAATTCTGCACACTCGCACCATCATCGGTACGTAAACATATACTTTATAGTTTGGTGTTAATGTTGGTATTACTGTGAATGACCGAAATTGGAGTCTGTTGAATTCCATCTGTGAATGTTGACAACCCCATAGTCGCTTTGGTAAATGTTCGAAATATATACTAGGTCTAGTTAAGTACCACTACCCAGTATGACCTACATCAATGGTTTTTACGGTTCAGTGACACTGCCCGATCTGCCCTACATCGATATTTTTTAAAGATAAAGTGCAACTTCCCAGTATGCATTTAGCCAGTACTCCGAACACTAATGTACCTCCTAATCTATCATCAGCAGATATTAAAATATCGAATAAATATAATAATATCAACGATTAAATTGGTATCAAATCGAATATAACAAATATTTCGGACATTCACCAAAGCGACTATGTGATTGTTGACATTCACCTTTGAAAGTCGTCATTCTCTCGATTTCGTTCATTCATGGCAACTTGGTACTTGAACATAGTATTGAAATGGTTTCAAAGCTTCATTGTTTTCATGACTTGAACTGCATAACTACCTTATATTATATCTAAAAATGGTAATTACTTAATTTTGATATACTTCTAATACATTGTTTCCAGAATATAAAGCCTTCTAATCACATTAGAATCAACATTAATAGGATCATAATAATTTTTACGTGACTGAAAAATACTTGACGTTGAGCTATATAAATTCACAGGAAACCTAAAGCTTGTGAACATGAGATTGAAAACAAAAATAAGGATTATATGAACTCCATACAATTGCGCAAAAAACCTTATAATAAAACGCAGCATCGCTTACCCTATTAAAAATAATGTATTCAAATATCACAACAATTTTTTCGTTTTTGACGAAACCAAATCCTGGTATATGAGCCGAGCAAAAATTTCATCAAAGTGCTGAAATAACTATCATCAACTTCTTCGAGGAAGCGAATATCATCAAAATTAAATAAATATTTTGTCATTTTTTCAGAAATTTTTTTTGTGATGTAATATATCCATCATTTCTAATAATCACTTTATCATGATCACCATAAAGATAAATTAAAGTCGCTCTAACAGCACAAAAAACATATAGAACAGAGAGATAAAATAAACATATTCCTGGAGCGGAATATTCTAAGGTAAAATAAATGTAAACATACATTTAAAAGTACCGTAGTTGACAACCACATTTATCTTTACTTATTTTACTGATCAAATTATCTCAGAGTTTTATCAATACATATAGTAATTATGTTATGTTATTATATGCAGAAAAAATAAAGCTATCGTGGCCTTCTATCGGGCATTAATATTAGCTAACCTATCTTCTTATAAAAAACAATTTAACGTTGAACCATAATATTGGTACCTAGAATGCTAAATTGATAAAATGAAAAAAAGGTTCAATTGCAGCATGTTTTTTTTCCTGAACCGTCTAATAATGTTTATTATTCTAAAGAAGTACATAAGTACATAGTTCAATTTAACAACATAATATGATTATAGCATATTCGAATGTTATTATGGTACAACACGTCCAAAAATCTCTAGCAGTGTGCATTTTACGTATAATTTACAGAAATAGATTAAAGTTAAAATGGCTGCATAGTTTATAATGCAATGTACCAAAAGGAACATTTTTAAAAAAGTTCATAAATAACCCTAGATCAGACAGAATACTTCCTTTAGAAATAATTATGCATTGTAAAAGTCGTAACTGCAGTCTTGTGCACTCTTAATTGGGACAATTACTGTATAAAATACACTACTACACAATACTATAATGCTTCCTTAGCATACGTATCACTATTTCTTCAGGTCTTAAATGAAAGTGGTTGTGGAGAATTAAATTATACATATTTATATATTAAGGACAATAGTTCGTATTAAATTTAAAAGCTGAAATTGAATTTTTATTTATCTGAAATTTTAGAGTGAAAAGCATAACTATAGTAAAATAAAACGAATGTTAGTTTAAATTGAATGTAGAACTACCAAGGCATTGTAAATAAAATGTCGTATTTAACGTGTGTTCATTATCGTTACTGATTCTGCGCTTAAGAAAATATTTTGAGAACCAAATTGAAATTGATTATTTCCATAAATTCCATTTAAAAATTAAGGTAAATTTACTTTTTTTGAAATTTAACACGATACAAATGGTTTGTAAATTTTGTCAAAATATTTAGAAAATGCTCATGTGAAAATTATGGGAAAAATAATGAGTTGAAAATAGTTATAACAATTAGTTTTATAATAAATATTGGTGGAAAATTATTCATAATTATTCATAAGTGAAAATAAAATTAAAATACGTACGATTAATTTAACGTAGCATGAAAATGTAATAATTTAGAAAAGTAGTGATTTTGAAAAGCTATGGTGAAACGAATCTGCATCACTTTAAAAATATCAACTTCCTTGTATCAGTTTGTAAAAGCAACTGGTTTAGATTATTAAATCAGCATCTACCGAGTACAATAGAGAAAAATCATTTTGACCAAGTTAGAACTTTCAAAGTTATATTAACAGATACAAAATAATAAGAATTGACATAATTTCATCCTCATTTGCATTATTATGGGGCTAGTCCAAAATGAATGCAATTAGAAATAAATAAGATTCCTTTTTTAAAATGGAGATAAATAGGAGTCAAAATATAAGAGGCTTAAATACGATTTAAAAGTTATTTTTCATTTTTAGGAGTTTTACTTAGCTTTCAAGTAAGAAAGGAATTGATACGAAATGGACTCATTATTTACATAATGACTCATGATGACTATGATTTTCCTTTGAAGTATTTTGTGCTTTTAAGTAACTTAAATTATATTAGATACACTGATACAGACCTATCTCTATTTTATTCTTCTTTCCCGCCTATAATTGAATACAATGGTATTCTTCTGCTCTCTTAATCTTTTTAAAATTCTGGGATGCGAAGTAGGTGGTATTTACTGTTTATTTGGAAGTTAGTTAAGCCTTTTTTCTTTGATTGCAAGAATACTACGACCTTTCAAGAAAGGTTTTATCATAGTTCCAAAGCAAATTTAAAGCAAAGTCAAGTAAGATGAGAACATAATGCATCAAAAATACTTACATAAATAGCCAAATTATGATTTATACTATACAATAACTATGCCACAAAAAGTTGTAAAACTCAAGTTTTTGCTATATTAAACAAAAAGTAAATCTACCTAAAATACATCATATGTATTTCAACGAAGCAAGGATTTGATAGAAATAAAAAGAAGTTAATGGAAATTAAAATCATAAGTACAAAAAAAAATTAAATGTTTAATTTTGTTTCTAAATTAATTGTTTTTATAATTTTTGTTTGACACGGAACTGTTCTAAATATCTTACAGTAGAAAAAATCAGCGGTTTTTAAATTTTCGTTAGAAGAGTTAATAGGATTGGAAAGAAAATTTTCTTTCATGTTTACCTTCCGTTCGCCATCAAATATTCTTTTTCAAAAACTTGCGACAAAAATAAAACTATTTACTTATTTTTAATAAAATCTTTTGTTTTCGTTTGCAAGCATATTATTAACTTCATTGATATCAAAAAGTTTTTTTTTGTAAAAAAACCATTGCCTTTTGATATAGCAGTGGTTAATGGAAAAATAAATGAATGCACATCATATATATGGAATAAAAACCAAGATATATTTAACAAAACAGACTGCTTGTAATAACAGAAATGCTTGCAGATTAAATTTTAAAGTGTTGATTTTATTTTGAGTATGCATTCTATTCAAACAACTATTTTCTCCAATGTTACAAAAACTACTTAGGCAGAAATTACATGGTATCGTTTCCTTACTGATCACGCAAGGGACGTTCCATTCCCTAAGCATTCGTTAGCAACTTCACCTGATAATGACTGTTTTCTCCTACTTAAGTTTATTAGGAATAAAATTTATTGTACTAAGAGATCGACTGAATAAAATAGTTTAAGTAGCTTGGATAAATAGAGATTTACGTCTGTTACATTAACAAATAACTTGATATTATCGCAATATTAATGATCGCGAAAAGGTCAATACAGAAATATTTTTATTTAGTCTCTGCTGAATTTTTAAGTTCAATAATTCTTATTTACTCTTCTTCTATTCTTCCATCAGGAAATTAAGAAACTGCTAGCTTAGAAAATTGGTAGCATTTTAGAAAAACTAAAAGTAGTAACCAGTTTAATAGAACTATTTGAACTAATTTTTAAACACTAAGAAAATATGTCGATATCCCAATCGAAATATTTCCTAATAAAAGGAAATATGGTGTTAATTTTTTTAAAAAATTTTATCAAAAGTTTGCAATATCTTTCGGTTATGTGATAAATGTGCTATATATTTAAATGATTTTTTTAGCGGCATATTGAATCCTAACAGTTATGGTAGAACACAACTGCAAGCTCAGCATACTGAACAATCATTCAAATTAATAAGGAAAATATAATTTTATTTAAAAAAAAAATTAAGTATTTCAAAAAGTGAAATAAAAATAAAAGACATTGAAATAGAAAAAATATAATTAAGGATTATATTTCTTATGAAGGATTATTTTCTTAATTTCTTTGTTAGAACAAATTCTTTATTGTAATAAAGGATTTTATAATAAATGATTTATTATAAAGGAATATTTGAAAGTAAAATAGGAAATATTCATAGATTTAAAGGTTTATGTTCGTTATTTACCTTCTGATAAATCGATAGATAGACTTTTGCATTCTCAATCCTGCTTCATTCAATAGAATATCAAGAATTTGTCAAATATGAATTCCCCGTTGTGGATTCCTGTTATATCTGGAATAAACAAATAAAGCAGGACTAATTTATTTTTATTAAATAGTATGCAGAAATGACGTTTATGTAACTATAGACAATAAACTATTAAATATTTCGAGAATTCATTTCAAGGTTTCTTTACTTTTGAAAAAATAAATCTTAACATGCCAGTATTGATAAAAGAATAATTTTAAATAATCGCATTGTAAAAATCGCATTTTTAAACATTGGAAACTCCATTTGTATTCAAAATTTTTTCGAATTGTCATTTGTCAAATCAGATAAATGCAAACATTGACGCTTCTAATTTTTGCTTCTAACCATTAAATCTACATACATAATTTCATTTCCGTTAATGATATGCAAGTGGTTTATCTTTCTATTAAAAAGTTTAATTAACTTATGATACGTTTTTATCAATACATTTAAAATTGCTGAAAAAAGGTAAAAAGTCTTAAATAAAAGGCATTAATGTTACTTATTATAACAAATTACATGACACATGAACACTTTCCTTTCCTTCCAGACTCGGATACGTACCTAGGTTAGTAAAACCCTTACCCGTATAATCCGCGTCTGCACATGATCACTGTAATTAATAATCAGGATTATTAATTACATTAGAATTAGTGTAATTAATAATCCAGTAGTGATTAGAGCATAATCATTGGCACCCGCCATTTTACTCCAAATAATAAATAACCGGTATTTAAAAAAAATTGCAAGGTAATATAATTGGTTTAGCAAAATTTTATGTTACAAAAACTTTTAAAGTTTTACGCCATTATTAACTGTATTCTCGAAACATTTGACGTGGCATAAAATCTAAAGCTTGACAGACAGACTACAAATTTCATAGAGATCTTCAATTCATCCGAATTTTATAGAGAAAGGAGATTTTTTACCTATTGCATAAACTCTAAAATCTTTCGTCGCCAGAAAAAGTATTCCATTCGCTGACACGTAAGCTAAATTTATGCCTTTAAATCTACCATGAACGTAAAGATATAGGTATTTTCGTTAAGTATATGGACGGCTTTTTCCGTAAATTAACGCTAGTCATGTGACGTTTATTTTCAGTTCGATTCCTGATGCTGTTGAGGCTTACGGTTATCGAATCTAGGAGAAATGTGGAATGAGGCCAAACAGCTATTTATCGAGGAAAGAGTTTGTCCATGGTTATCAACGTAAAGGGAGAGCGAGGGAAATGATTTTTGCGGTGCCTGGATTTGAACTCGGGGCTTTTGTGTCCGTAGTCTGATACTATAACTATAAAAAAAGGGGTATACAGTTCTCAAAATAAAAAAACGGATCACCCTTAATAACTTTTGATCTAATGATCAAGTCTTAACATTCTAGGACTGAATCTTAATGGTTCAAGGGTGCGACCTCAAAAAAATGCTAATTAATATAAGGTAATATGATAATTAATTAGTGCATGGTAAATATGCTAATTAATTGGCGCAGAAGATATTTTAAGTTAAGATATCAGACATAAAAGCATGCTTTCTCTAAATTAGCATACTTTTTTTTCTAAAATTTGGACCCCCTTAACGTTAATTTTATTATTTTTTGTGTATTTTACCATGTTTTGCTTTTTAAGAGAATTGAAAAACATTTGCACACAATTATAAAGTTCATTTATCCAAAGATAATTCCATGCAAAAAATATTTTTAGTAAATATTTATTATTATTTATTATTTCATTTAATATTAGTCGAAAAAATTGTGAATTGCCGGATGTGCATTTTTTACATAATTTTAAAATATATAATTTTACATAGTAAAATACAAAATCTGATTGAAGTCAGCCGAATAATTTTTGAGAAATAGAATTTCGAAAAAGTCGTATTTTGAAAATTTGATTTCTCAGGAACTATTAAACCGATTTTACTCAAATTCTGTACTTTGCTATGTCAAATTATGCTTTTTAAAATAATGTAAACAATTTTATACCTTACAATTCGAATATTTTTCGACTAATAATAAATAAAACAATGTAACATGAAAACTATTTACTAAAAAATATGTTTTGCATGGTATTATTTTCGGATAAATGAATTTTATAATTGTGGGGAAAAAATTTCTGTTAGCTTAAAATGATATCAAGATATATAGAAAAATTCGCAAAAAGTAAAACTAATATGAAGGGGTCCAAACTTTGGAACACTCATGACCAAACTATGGGGACCATATTTTATGGTCCCCAGATAGCGGCTCCCCCTTTAATTTGGGGGTCCACCCCCCAGTAATCCATCCCAGTAATGGGTAATTCAAATCCATCAACAACAGAAAAGGTATGTTTATTCAGAGAAAGTACGGATTTGTGTCTGTTTTAGGAACTTAAAAACTTAATATAATCGTCAGCACTTATTAATTAGCATATTTGAGGTCATCCTCGCGAGTCATCAAGATTGAGTCCTGGAACGTGAAGATTCAATGATTAGATCAAAAGTCATTAAGGGTGGTCCGTTTATTTAATTTTTTTACTTGCTCGCTGTACATCCCCGATCCGAGTTAAAAAGCATAATAAAATTGTATAAAGTAATGATCAGCTCTACCAATTTTGATGAAGTTTGTTATAATTACGGGAACTGGCTATTTTTTGTTAAAGGATGGCTACATAAAATAATAGCCAACTTCCTGAATTTCTTAGAGTTTGTTCTTAAACACAATGAGTATGTTTTGTAAGTATACCCCAATAGTAAATCCAGTTTAATCTTTTAAGTTTGGACGAGGGAAAGAAATTTTAAACATAAATCTAGAATTCATCTGATTTTTTATCAATTGTTCTATATCAATTTTTTTCTTTAGAAATAATACCGTTGTAGCTCTAAGAATTATTAAGAACTATTTCTACTAATTTAATAAATCGAAACCTTTATTTTTAACATTTTTAAAAAGGTTTTGTACTGCCTTATATATATTTTTATATTATCGAAAATCTTTTGAAGATCCAAAATAGTAAGAATACGAAAACCAAAAATTTAACCAATAATCTAATAGGAGAAAGGATTGTATATTTATCTTTCAATACAATCCTAGAATAATTTTATTTTAGTTTTGAGATCTTAGGAATGGTTGGATAAGTCGCTGATGGGATTCGTGACTTACACCTAAAATACAAGCTTTGTTAGTGTGCCATGGATTTAAAAGTTAAGTCAATGCCCCAAAGTACAAAATTTACTTGACTCAAATGGCAAAATGGCTTTAAAGCACAAAAATGCCCGATTCTATGCATTTTTCCACAAAACCTATCCAAAATTTTAACGAAGTCCTGTTGAACAACTTGTTGCAATTCGTGCATTGCGTCTAAAAATTTAACAGTTCAATTTGCAATGATTTACTCCAAAATTATCGCTGCTCTAAATCTTTCAAATAGTTATTAAAGTTACCTTTTAATCGGAAGATTAAGGGCTACTATTTTCTAAATTAAATTTTTAGGTGAAAAATATATCTGATGCTTCGTTATAGGCTCAAATCTATATTCTCGGAAATACTACCCTGGACTCTTAGGTTTCAAAAACTCAGTTTTCCTCTTCTGCATTTACAAACGTCGAAAATTGAATTCAATAATGTTTTTCAATGAGTCACTGTAACCTTTTGAATGTTGCATAACATACTGCATATCATATCAACATATAACATCTCACTTTCCAGTTAACAAATATTTCAGCTTTGTCTCATTATTTCCGCTTAAAAATTCCATCCATTTTGTTGTTACAAATTTTAGATCTCCGGATTATCCACATGATAGCCGAGAATTGTGTAAATATCTCGTTTTTTAATTTTTTTACTCTTCAAAATAATTATTAAGTTCTTCTTCTTTTAATTCTTAGTCTCCTAAGTCAAATATAGAAATCAGATGCATAGATTTGTCGTAATCATTGAGCAATGATGAATAATACGCTTCCTAGGGAAAGGTATTTAGAGTTTGATTATTTGTACGCACTATACACTGAAGGGCCATTACATTATGACCACCCTGCTGATAACATGTAGGACCACCTTTAGCCCTCAAAACTGTTAGCACCCGCCCTGGCATTGATTCCACAAGGTGCTGANTACTTAAAAAAAACTATACCGGAACATATGCTCCTGCACCCCAGAGCCCAAGGTCAAGAAAACTGAGATGGGCACAGTCGGCCTTGGCCCTCTTAATGGGCTGTCGCGCCACTGAGTTAGTTAGTTAGTTAGATTATCCACATGATAGCCGAGAATTGTGTAAATATCTCGTTTTTTTAATTTTTTTACTCTTCAAAATAATTATTAAGTTCTTCTTCTTTTAGTTCTTAGTCTCTTAAGTCAAATAGTCAAACAGATATGTCGTAATCATTGAGCAATGATGAATAATACGTTTCCTAGGGAAAGGTATTTAGAGTTTGATTATTTGTACGCACTATACACTGAAGGGCCATTACATTATGACCACCCTGCTGATAACATGTAGGACCACCTTTAGCCCTCAAAACTGTTAGCACCCGCCCTGGCATTGATTCCACATTCGACAGCTCTGGCTGTGATCGTTTTTTAAAAAAAAAAATAACAATAAGATATAGTTTCTAGTTGCTGTATGTGTACGTGTGGGGGGACATTACGATATTTTAAGATTAGGGGTGGTGAAACCAATGCACATGCGCTAAATACGGCGTATTCGTTGATTAAGTTGATTAAAAATGGCATCTTAGCTGTTCAGAAATTAGTTCGTGCAAGGGATGTGTAGAATAGTGCAGATATTTTAAAATTGCAGACGTTTTTGTCTTTTTCAATTATTTCCAAATTAACATTAGTCATCAATAATGCTTTAGCTTAGAGCTTTTTTTTTAATCAAAAATCATTCATATTGGAAATTTATTGCACATTCAGCAATAATATTTTCCCCCTCGGGTATTAGTCACGGGAAAGATACTTAATTTATAAATTTAGGCTTTTTAGAAATCTAGTCTTTATTTTGTTTGTAGTTGCCCTTATGAAAAGCATTTCGAATGAACCTAAATAATAAAACTCAGTAGGAGCTTGAAGTGAGAAACATTTAACTATGCACTAATTGTAATATGCGCAAAGAAAGGAACCATCCTAAATAATATTTGATCTAATGATTGGATCTTCACATTCTGGGACTCAATCTGAAGGGCTCGGGAGAGAGACCTCAAATATGCTGATTAATAAGTGCAGTTGATAATTTAAAATACAAAATCAGACAAAAAAAACTTACTTTCTCTTCATAAACATACTTTTTTTCAACGGATTCGGATTTTTGACCCCCAAAATATAGGAATTAGAAGCAAATCTGGAAAATATGGTCTGAATAGTCCGGTCAGGAGAGCGGCTCTAAATTTTGACCCATTAATGTTCATTTTACTTTCTGCGTTCATTGCTATATCTCGAATACTTTTTAAGGAAATTGAAAAATGTTTACGCTTAATTATAAAATTTGTTTGTCCAAAGAAAATTCCATGCAGAAAAAAAACATTTATTAAATATTTATTATTTTATGAAATAGTGGTTGAAACAATTTTGCATTGTAAGGTAATTTTTACATCATTTTAAGGATATAATTTACTTGGCAACATACAAAATTTGAGCAAATTCGGTTAAATAGTTCCTGAGAAATTGAATTAAAAAAACAGGGATGTATAAAATTTGATTCGACCAATTTTGCTCAAATTTTGTATTTTGTCTTGTAAAATTATATTAAGATGATGTTAAATTTGTAGACCTTACAATATAAATTCTTTTCGATCATTATGAAATAAAATGATAAATATTTAATAAGGGCTAGTTTTAACATTGAATTATCTCTGGACAAACTAATTTTAGAATTGTGTACAAAACTTTTTTAATTCGCTTCAACAGATTTCGAGATACAGCGAAATACGCAAAATTTCAAATTAACATTAAGGGGTCAAAACTATGGAGCGCTCTCCTGATCAAACTATTCGGACCATATTTTCCAGGTTTCGGCTATCCCCTATATTTTAGGGATCCATCATGTTTATTCAGAAAAAGTGCGTTTCTGTGTCTTGATTTCGCAATTAAATCATCGTTTGCACTTATTAATCAGCCCTTGAGTCATTAAGATTAAGTCCAAAACATGAAGATCCGATCATTAGATCAAAAGTAAGCAAGGAATATGTATTTTCTCAGGCTTACGTAAAAGTTACTTTTTCTTATACATTGAACTTGAAAACTTAAAATTATGCGATAGATTAGAATAGTATATCTGAAAAGGATGCGAACATTTATTTATTTTGATATTTTTGAAATAATTTTTTATTCGTGGATTTAATTAATTGTATTGATTTTAGTTTCTTTCCTTTCTAACAATTTCCTAATTTTTAATTATTTATTTTAGCTGGCTGTCATTATGACTGGATCAACACAAAATTACCTGAAGATGGAAGAACCAATATTTTTTAAAGAAAATAAACCTCTAGAGATGTTTTCCCTCTTTAAAGCAAACCTAATGCTCTTAAAATGGTATAATATAGTTTATTAAAATTACATTTGAATAATATTCTTCAAGGCAAACAAAATTCAATTCAACCTTAAAGCTGTAACTGATTCAACTTCAATTATTTATCTAAACCAAATCTTCTATTATGGAAAGCAAATAACGGTGGATTACATAAATGTATAATCACTAAATTAAATAAATGCACGAGTGGGAAAAATTTATCACAGAAAAGTTAAAAAAAGAATGAAGTACAAAGGTTTAGAAAAGAATACTGAAATTGTAACAATTTATTTCATTGACATAATAGATTGAAACAAATACTCTTTCTCTTTTCATGAATATTAAATTATCATTGTATCAAGATTTTTAATGTAATGGTATTTAAAAGAATAAATATACCCATATGAATAGTGAAATAAAGTGCTTACCTCAGAAATCTGTAGTGCATCATTACTCAGTTAAATAAAATGCAGGCTATCCGTAAAATAACTGCAGTTGAGCATTCGCGACTTTACATACATTACATCTGAAAATTAAAAAAAAGAATTAAATTCGTAAATTTTGTGATTTTAAATTCCGACGCATATCTTTCTATATATCTAGGTGTAGATTAAGTAAGCAAACAGAAAAAGAGAGGATTAGAAAATAAAATTTTACTATCAAATCTTAATAATATGAATACATGGAGGGTCAAAAATATATCAGTTTTATGAATTTGTCTTTTCATGATCACAAACTAAAGTATTGGTCAAGTTTCAGAAACGATTTAAAGATTGAGAAAATATTAAAAAATCGAATCGCACTAAAATTTCAAATTATTTTGAAAAACCTGAATAAGTTCATCATATGTGGAGAATTTTTTTCCTCTTATGCATTCATCTTTTTGCATCTTTAAAATTATTTTAAGATTAGCCATTCTGTTTTTCTTTTTTTTCCCTCTTAAAATGTTTTTTTTTCTTCATATGAGTTTATAAGATTTATTAAAAATAGAATGTATAAAAATTGAAGAAGCAATTTAACGTGGCGCTATTATAGCGTTTTCATGGCGTTAAAACATATACCCCTGAATATATATTTTTCTTCAAAACTATGTATATTATTATAAGAGTTATTCCAACTATAAATAATACGTCTGCTCTATCAAGTGTATGTTTTAAAGCGTTAGGTTCAAAGCATGATTTATTTTCAATGAACCTAAAAATTCTAAAACTTATGTGCCCAAGAATTATTGGCCATTCCCTGTGACATCTCCTCACGTATGTTATCTTCAGAAGAAACTGAGTGCATGCAGTTTTGAAGAATAAAATTTTGAAATGTAAAAATATTCTTAAAGGCAATCACAGAAACCGAAAGCAAATTGGATTAGCATTGGGTTATTGGATTGGACTGCATTCAGCAAATATGCACTAACAAGGAACTTGCAAATCAAGTTGAATTATTTATACAATCAGTTTTGTAATATTTGTAAAACATTTTGTCAATTTCACAGTGGTTTTAGAGCTATGTACATTAGCGAAAATAAAGATTTGGGCACTGACTGGGAACTCGCAAATCAAGTTGAATATTTTATACAATCAGTTTTTTTATTTCTAGAATATTTTGTCTCTTTTGCAGTTGCTGTAGAGATCTATACATTATTGAGAAGGAAAATTTAGGAAAAATATCTTTGTAAAGAGGCCAAGAAATTTAAGAAAAATTCGTTATAAATATTTTTTTTATTTTTTTATTTCCAATTAGCTGCACAATCAGTCTTCTCGATGAGCAGACCTAATGCGTTCTCCAGGGGTGGTATCCACTCTTTCAGGACCACCACAATGGGTGAGATACCGTTGGTCATGTTAATTTGGACGTCTAGTTTCTGTCACACTAGATGGCAGCACCGAGACTCTATTTGGATGCTAAAGTGCACTAGGCACTTAATTTTGCCGGAAATGCCAAGAGTCAATAAGGCACCCCAGGGATCTTTTACATGCCGCATAATCATATGACATGGCTGCTGAGGATTTTCTGCATCACGAATATCAAGTGTCTGGGACGGGGATTGAACCCGCAGACTTGGGCTCAGAAGGCCGACGACAAACCAGCTGCACCACCCAGCCACGCGTTATAAATAATACAGTAGGAAAAAAAATCGCGTTTTATATACGTATAATCTAATGAAATCGAGTTAGAGTTATAATTTAGTCAATTGTTTGTTTTTATAAAATGTAATTACAAAATGCGGAATTATGCAAGAACGCTTGAATTTACTTATTAAAGCAATATTTTTAATTTAAGTTTATAATTCAATCTTTAAAAATAAATATAAGTGTTAAAGTTTATGCTTAAGCAGAAATGTCTTACCAACAGTGCCAACAGTGCTTATTGTCTATGGAATTTTATCATTCCGTAGGCAAAAAGCACTGTTGGTCTAAAAAATTTCATTAGAGTTGAGGACAACTCTTTGTTGTCTTCAACTGTAGTTGTTGACTTAAAAGTTTAGAAAAACTTGCCAAAATGTTCAAGGTAAAAGTTGTAATTTTGGTAATTGATGACTTAATAATTACTTCGTAATAGACAAAATTATTTGTATATATGATTTCAGAACTTCAGATCTGTCTGTTAAAAATTAACTTAACTGGCAAATTACACTTTTAGCATCGTTCTAGCAAGAAAGATCATAAAGTGCTTAGAAAAACAATTTACAGAAATAATAAAAAGAAGAGAGTGAACGAGCGGAAAAAATAAATAAATTTGAAAGTAATAATTTTATTCAAAAATTTCACTAAGAAAACCTTTTGAAAGGTAATTTAGAATTTCATTTGCATAAACACAAAATTAAATTGTTTCTTCAAAAATATTTATCTCATCCCAAAAAAGGCTTTTTTTAAGATCGCTTGATGGAATATGTATTATTATATTTTCGCTTAAAAGCTCATTTATATCATTATAGTATAAGTATTTGAACTTTTAATCATTATCGAAAGAAATAAAAATGTTAGCATTAGGGAAGATCAATTTAGAAATACTACATCAATATAAATGTTTTTCAAACTGTTCAGCGCCTTCTTTTTTTCTTTACATTATTTACTTTTTGTTCCATGCTTACACTTTAATGCGGTGCCATTTAGGAAAAGCTCTTAATGGATTTAAAAGAACTCAATTTTAATTTTCCATTATCTATCGCCCTTTAAAAGCATTCATTTTTTACCCTCATATTTCAAATAATGTAGAAGGAAACAGTTTTATTTTTGCCAAACAGTTCATAGCCTTTTAAGTAAATAGACAGTTTCGATAATAGTTATATTTTACATTCCTATTCATCAATAACATTTTTAAATTACTATTTTGACGTATTTCTACAATATCCAACTAGACATAAAATATTATTTATGCATTTTTGAACGAATGCTATAATATGATGTATAAAAGTTAAGCAGATACTTAAAATTTGAATTACTTTATACAATATGAAGAAAAAAGACTAGGCATATCACTTAAAATGTTTCAAGTTAAAAATGAACTAAAAAAATGAGCTAAAGATTGATTAATATCAAAAATATGTTTTTATCCCCATTTGGATATGAAATCGTTACTAAATATATTTTTCGACAAGAATAATGAAATTATAAAGTTTAACAAATGATGCAATTTATATTACAATTTACGGTAAGGTAAAATGCTTGCGTAGTGTCTAAAATAAAATAATTATTCATTACTATAATTAAGAATTTTTTATTTCCTCGCAATAATTAAGAATTTTCAAGGAGAACGATTACCGGAAATTATAGTTTCCTTTTTTTTTAATGGCAGGCACTTGGGGTTTGTCCCATCGGCCTCAGAAATGCCAGAACAGCTACTCTCTTCTCGTTACCCAGTGGGCACCTGTGGTTAAACCACGGCGGTGTAGCAGCGTCGCCCACGTCACACAACCACAAACCCGTTTATAGAGCGGGTCACATTCACACAATCGCAGACAAAGAAGATCGAACACACAGAAAGAGAAAGAAACAACTATGCCCTGAGCAGGATTCGAGCCCGCGAACATCGGCTCCGCAGTCAGGCACGCTAACCACTCGGCTACCTGGCCGGCAATTATAGTTTCCTAAATTATTATAAAAAATTCATTCACATTTAGTAAAACATTGAAATCAGAAAAGTAAGCTTAGCTAAATAAATGAGTTTTATGCCATGTTCTACAGTATCATGACAAAGTTGCGGAATTATGCCACATTTAGCAAATTTTACCACATATTATAAAACCATATTTCAACTATAATTTTACAAATATCATTACAAACACACTTCAGTAAAAATTACCGTGCTTTTGGTGTTCAAATAAAGAACACTTTCACCATATTCTTTTAGTTTTGACTATTTTTTTCTCGGTGTATTTATCTTAGAAATAGAGCTATCAAACATACTCTTTAATTTTAAATTGTTCCGCGAAAAAAAACTTTTTAATGTTAAAATAAATAGAAAAAAAAAGCTTTTTTTTCCTTACTTTTTATTGCAAAAGCTACGTATGAATATCAAAATCTGAACTTTTTTTTAATATGGACAATCTGAATTCTCTTTCTATAAAATAAATTTAAAAGAAAAAAAGCATTAAGTTGTTAAAAAATTATGAAATTCAGTAAAGTTGAAAAATTAAATATAATTATTCAAACTAAGTTATTAAAATCAAGGTTTTTTTTTTCTTATTGATAAATAGTTGTTTCGTTTTCCTTTATTAAAGGAGGGTAGGAATTAAAGCAAACAAAATGAGTGACATTTAAATAACTAAAACGATAAAGTTGGTTAGTTTCTATTTAATTTGATCTACATATTATAATAAGCTTTTATATTTTTGTGCATTTTTATAATTTCAAAGAAGTTGTCAAATTAAGTACTAACTTTCCCCTATCACAATATGCTTTTTTTATAATTTCCTAATACGATTTTAAGAAAATTATTCTAATCATATTATCAACTAGTCAGCAACTGTAGGTTTATTTAATATAATAAAGCGTTATTTGCAAATTAGTTTCAATTTGATTTTTTTTTTCAATTTAACTATTAAATTAACTAACAACATTGCTGTTAAATCAAATAAATGTATAAATTAATTTCCTCATGCATAATAAAATTAATGTAAAGTTTATAAATAAAATTTAAAACTTTTATAAAATTGTTACTTAAATTTTGTATATTGCATTATATAATTAATTAGGTTTTATATTTACTGTTGGATGTTTACATTTCATTTTCAAAACTACATTTGTTTTGTATACACAGATTATAATATAAGGCTCTATATCCCAATGAAATATTCTCTCTTTTATTGTAAAAAGTTTAATAGTTAACAAACTATCAGTCTATTTCTAAGCAAATAGCTATTTTCATTTAATAAAATCAGCCAAACGTTAATTTAGTTTTCTTTAAAAACAAACATATTTATCATTAATGTAAACTAAAACATAAATTAATTAAAAAAATTTTGATGCATATTGCTACATAAGTTTGAAGATAAATGAGGTGCATTTCATGCGTTATCAAATAATTTTC